AACCATTACCACGCTCGCCTCCTCCACCATCATATCGCCAACGAAGCCCTCTCAATTCCCGCCTCTGCCACCCTCTCTGTCCCCACTACCACCCTCGCCTCCACCTGCAGAGCCAACGAAGCCATCACAATCCCCACCTCCGCCTGCTGAGTAGTCACCAAATCCCTCATCAGCATCTCTGCCTCCACCTTTCGAGTTGAAAATAAATGGCACTGTAAACATCAACGGAAAACCATACAACTCACCACCTGGAGTTATTCCGTGGAATTTGCCGCCGCCTCCTGACAATGAGGGTAAGCCATCGGCTCCCCCTGTCTCTCCTCCAAAGCCTTCGTAAGATGATCGGGAGGTGTTGCCTCCTCCAACAGCCCCGGCACTCCACACCACTTCAACCAGACTCTCTCTCTACGATCATCGCGGTTGGCCATGATAAGCTTTGTACTATTCTTTCCATTGGTCCAGCTTCCCTTCTGATTATTCATCCCCTGCTTTTGCACATAGATATACAAAGATATATATTTCTGTTTTTTCCCCTTATAGGATCTTCTAATGATAAAGTTGGTATTGAGAATTTTATTGTAGCTCTTCTATGACCTTTTTTTTTTGTTTTATTTTAATTTAATTTTGTGTTTTGGATGCTTCCACTAATGATTATACATCTTTACTATTTCAATTGAATATATGTATTTTGGATGTCCTGTATTAAAATCCTTCAAATGGATTTTTATTTTCCCAACTCCTTCCCATCAAACTACATAACTGCAAGGAGTCTCTACCTTCAACTCACACTTTAGAACCACAACAAAATGAAGAGAACTCATGGGACAGAACTCATGGGACAGTTACATTATGGTGACTGTTCAATGCAAGTGAGGGACAAAAGTAGTCTGCACTGCAGAAAAAAGTGCACACAGCATAGGCAATGCGATAATACATCGCAGTGAAGATCATTTCCTGAACAAGTGTGAGAGCATCTGTCAGCCTGAACCAGCACTTCAAGCCAAATCCGACATTAGAAACATACATTCATTGCAATGTGATGCATGTCAGAAAACAATAGTTCTGATTTGTACGCTAAAAAGGGAACCGATGGTGTTATTTATTCGCAATTCAGGAAATAGATTGAGACCTCCAAATGACGATTCATAATCAGGAAACATAACATCTCAAATAGGTGCGAACAAATTGCTAGTTTCACTGTCTTCTTCGATTCATAACAGAGACATTAGAAGGCGGAGCACTAGTCCCAAACCATAGTTTGGCCTTTATTTAAACAAGAAAGATGATGAAATTTATAGTACTTCATAACAAAACCATGTCTTTAGTTTAATGGAACAAATTAACCGAAAACCAACGAGTGTCTCTGGAATAAGAAGAGCAATGCATCAATTACACCGTATCAACCAACGAATTTCACCTACAAAAAGAAGCATGGTATTAGTTTCCCGGAAAAATTCAGCCATGATGCATAGTGACACCATTGAACTCAACTACTGAAGCCAAACTAAAAATATGGTTCTAGCACTTTATCTTCACACAATGTCAAACGAACATCACAATCCACTTCCCGTCAATCTTAATCCTCCAATATAAGAATATAAGAATATTAGAAGATAACAATAGACAAATACAGAAGGAGAAAAAGAAAAGGACAGTAATTATTTCCCAAAGGATGAATATAGTGGTCCAGATGAGTTACAACAAGCCGTGCACAGATCATTTTCAATAGCCTTCACAATACTTTAGGTGAATAGAATTGTGACAAAAGAAGAATGTGTTAGTCAAAAAAAGTGTGCTGTAACTGGGAAACTGCAGCACCGTGGCTGAGAAGAAAATGTACTAGCAGTATCTTAGAGCTTATCATAGAACAAAACCAGGAAGCTATTGGTGAGAAGAATAAAAGGGAAATATTAGAAAATGATGACAGGATGTTGATCAGTGTAAGGATACAGAAACATAATCAATCGTGAATTTTGATTTATACATAATCTATTTTATATTCGTTCAAAACAAACTAACATTGTCAAAATTTGTGGGTTATATATAGCACATGAAAATCGCAAATTTTGATGTACAAATAATAAACTAACTTTCGTTCAAAACGAGCTAAAATTGACAAAATTTATGGGTTATAGCTCATTAAATTCGCGAATTCCAATGTACACATAATTTATTTATAATTTTATATTCATTCAAAACGAAGCAAAATTGTCAAAAAATCGTGGCTTCTATCTTATGAAAATTGCAAATTTTGATGTATGAATAATGAATTTATTTTCATTCAAGACGAATCAAAATTGACAAAAATGGTGGGTTATAACACATGAATATCGCAAATTTTGATGTAAACATACTTAATTTATATTCATATGAAACGAACCAAAATTGACAAAAAAATGGATTATAGCCTATCAAATCAAATTACACTCTAGTTGGAAATGAACTAATTGACAGAAATTGTCAGTTATAGTTCATGAAGCGAATTTTAGTGTATACATAATAAATTTATTTTCGTTTGAAAATAACCGAAATTAAAAATTTTGTGGGTTAAAATCGCAAATTTCATACTAAATTTACTATTGTTTGGAACAAATCAAAATTGACAAAAATCATGGGTTATAGCTCATTAACATCACGAATTTTGACATACATACAAGTTATTTATGTTTGTTCAGAACAAACCAAAATTGACAAAAAAAGTGAACTATAGCCCAGAAACCGCAGTTTTGATTACGCATAATAAATTTACTTTCATTCAAAACAACCAAAAATTGACAAAATCTGTAGGTGATAGCTCATGAATCATGAAATTCGATGTATACATAACTTATTTACATTCGTACAAAATGAACCAAAGTTGTCAATGCAATATAGGTACATTACAAAACAAAATTGAAAAAATTTGTGGGTTATCCCAAGGATCCCAAATGATGGGGACCCTAGGAGAGCCGCCAACTCCAACAATCGTCCATGTACGATCCATACTAGATCTGACTAACTACCACCCTACCTCCTCGACCCGAACCTAGGTGATCTATCCATGACCAAGATGAAGCTTGGGTGAAACTAAGTGGAGGTCCGAACCGACTACGCTGACCTCTCTAGTGGGGGAACACATTAGATATTTACCTAAACCGGTAGGTCCCTGGGCAGATCCCACGTTGGCCTCAAGATGTTGGTCTCTAACTAAGAAAGTAAATGCTTGAGCTTAAGAAGCTTCTAGTCCGGTGGGTTCGTATAATTCACTAGGATAAGTGGTATTATTGAACCAGACGAAACAAGCGGTGAAACTAAAGACGGATGTAGATTCATAGGGGCACTTCTATATTCAGATAGAAATATGCTAGGCTCGCTTCCAAAAAAATAATTTCTTCATCACGCCGTGAAAAGATTTTACACAAAAAGGTCCGTTAGGCACATAATCGTTATGTCATAATAGATCTGAACACTTGCCCCGGATCGACTTCAATATCATAATTGCTCTAGTGAATAACTAACAAAAATAGATAGATGGGGGATAGGAAAAAGTAAACTAATCATAAATAAAATATATATCTTTCAGACTTTCAGAGGTTCACTAAAAACTTGATTGTTGGGGGGTCTCTTTGTATGTGCTGTCCGAAAAGAGGACTTAATGATTATCTCCGCTAATTGAACTCTAGATGATACAACGAAAAAAGAAGATGGGTAGAAAAACTTATTACATATCATTAACTCTGGTATCTAATAAGTTCTACCTACTATTGGATTTGAACCAATGACTCCTGCCATATGAAAGTAATACTCTAACCACTGAGTGAAGTAGGTTATTTATCATCCAAAAAAAGGACCCATCTCCTCGAAGATTATAGGTGGAATATTATTTCTAAGCAATATCAATTCACAAACAGTAAACGAATCAGAAAGCTATCATGTGGGATCCTATCTTTGCATCAAATTAAACCACATGCTCCACTGCTTGTGCGAGCCCCTGTCAATTCCTTTGAGTTTCATTCTTGTGAACGTACTCTCCAATCGGGATACTTAGCGCGTTAGCTACAACACTGCACTGGTCGATACGCACAGCGCCTAGTATCCATCGTTTACAGCTAGGTCTACTGGTGTATAACACAATCAAACCCGAATGAACTAAATGTTGAATTGAATCGTACCAGTCTTTATTACTCATTTTTGTACTTATTTTCCAATTATTTCTTCAATTGAGAGAAAGAAATAAAGTACTAGGAATACTACATTCTAAATAAGATAATAATATTACTATATCCAATGAATAACAAATTCAATAGAAATTTTTTAGGGGAGGTGTAGATTGAATCTTAATGTATCACACAATCCAAATTTTTCCAAAATGATAGCATTTTTGGATCGGGAAAATGCTAAAGAAGTTCAAGAGATGAGAGAATTAAGGATAACTACTAGAAAGACTGATGCAATGCATAATGATGTATCAAGGAACACATTTTTGCTATGCTACTAATACTTGTACTTGCTTTGCTATTCTGCCCAAGTCTACCTAAGAGTTATGGGTACTAAAACATCAATAGGCTGATTGGGGGAGATCCAGAATTATAAATTTCTCATTTTGAGGAGACAAAAGAAAAGGAGAAAGCAAACAAAGAAAAAGAAGAGGAAAATGAACGAATAGCAATATCAGAAGCTTGGGATACCTTTATATTTAAGCAATAAGAGGTTTAATGTTAGTGACTCAATCTTTTCTTAGAAAAGTAGCAATGCCAGTATCTGAGAAATAAGCATTTGCTAACTCTATGCCAGTAGTCGCGGTAAGACAAAGGATGCAAGCATTATCCGGAATGATTGGGCGTAAAGCGTTTGTAGGTGGCTTTACAAGTCCACCGTCAAATCCCAAGGCTCAACCCTGGACATGCGGTGGAAACTACAAAGCCGGAGTACGGTAGGGGTAGAGGGAATTTCCGATGGAGTGGTGAAATGCGTAGAGATTAGCTCGAGGTATTTCCTCTACCCCTTCTTACCCTGAAAAAGCAAGGTCACCTTGCATCCTTGAACCGTAACCATCTTTTGGCCAACCTAGCCTCATTCGTCCCTTAGGACCAACAAGGGGTAGTACAGGAATATTCACCTGTTGTCCATCGACTACGCCTTTCGGTCTGATCTTAGGCCCTGACTCACCCTCCGTGAACGAACCTTGCGGAGGAACCCCTAGGCATATTCATGGAATACGATCATATACAAAGAACGATTGGTACCAGAATTAATCATGAATGTTTAAAGAATCACAAACCCTTCTGATTTGAAAGGGCCACTGTTTTTGAAATAGAACAATATAATAACAATACATGCTATACTATACAGACGGATTTTGTTTTACTTGAGGTTCAAGAACCTTTCCGCCAATTTGATATACACAACTTATTTACACTTGTACAAAATGAACCAACGTTGTCAATGCAATATAGGTACATCTTTTATTACCTAGGATAAACTCGGCACCGAAGCTAGTGCTTTGCAAGAAGTAATAATCAAGGAATATGTGAAGGGGTTCTGTGATACCCCAAACATAGTCCCACATCGGGAGAACAAAGAGAACATGGAGTGTTTATATATTAAGTCCGCTCAAGTGTAGCATTGACTAGCCCATTTTGGCAATAGTTTGAGGCGAACATGTTACACTTAGTGGATCCCACATCTTTCTATGCGCAAACGAGCTCACGGGCCCTAGACGTGAAAAATGGTATCAAAGTAATTAGCCATTCGAAAATGTAGAGCTTAGTGTTATGCAGCGCTAAATGTTAATTGCATGAGCATAGAGTGAGCCACCTCTAGAACCCTCAAGCGCCACCTCTAGAGTCCTCGTTGTCAGGCGCTAATACTAGGATGAGTCATTATCATGTTGCGACGAGCATGTCACATATTTAAGGTAATGTGTTTTGACACCCCCAAATAGAGTCCCACTTTGGGAAGACAGAGAGAATTAGGAGTGTACACTAAGTGAAGAGTCCCAAGTGTAGCATTAGCTAGCTAATTTTGGCGACAGTTAAGCCAAACAAACTATCCAACTCACTCATCATGAATCTCATGGTTAGCTTCGACCAACTTAGCTAGAGCTCAGTCACATATGGACGCAGAGAACAACTGCCTCTATAAGAAGGTGGCTCGATAGGAAATTGCTGAGACCGAATCTTCCTAAGGAAAGAAGGCTGAAACCGACCGGTCCAAGCCTAAGCTAAGATTCGGCTACGTTGATAGGAGATATCAGAGAAGGGACGCAACAAGGAAACTGGCGCTCGCCCCGTCAACACCCTCATCTTGCAGACATTGCATCTGATCTAGGAGGGACATCTTACTAAACCTCTGCCTTGTATGATTTCAAACCCCAACAAGAGAGACCTCCGATAATATTGTCGCTATCACAGGGAACACGACCACGATACCAATGATTGGAGAGTCCTACAGAAACATTGAGGACGTCATTCAACAAGAGTTGTTAAAGAAATTCCTCGACAACCACAACAAGGAGGGACCAGTCTTAGATAAATCGGAGGTCAAGATCTAGATCACCTCGTTCGAGGCGCAAAAGTCAGCTAAAAGCCAATGACAAAAACACTATCAACACCATCAACGGTAGGAAGCAGCAGAAGGAATATCGAAGAATGCTCAAAAGAGGTATGCCCGACGAGCCCTTCAGGTAAATTTATGTGACAAGAAGCTCAAGGTGGATCAACCTATCTCCTTCAGCAATGCTAACCTGAAAGGTGTAATGACACCTCATGACGATCCTATCATCTCTGCACAATCAATAGGCTCCAAATCAAGAGGATCATGCAGGATACAATAAGTCCAGCAGATATTTTGTTCATGAACACATTCAACCAAATGAGGGTTGACAAATCAGAGCTGCAACCCTAACCGAGTTCTCTTGTAGGCTTCTCGGGGCACTCAGATTGACCAGAATGATTAATCATCCTAACTATGATACTTGGTTATTACCCTCGCCGGTCCATGATTCAGATACAATACATTATGAGGGACGTTAAGTCAGCTTATAACGTATCCTTGGAAGAGCTTTCTCGAACAACCTCTAAGTTGTTCCCTCCACTTACCATCAAATAATGAAATTCTAAACTCCCTAAGGACTTAGCCTTGTACAGAGTAATCAATAAGAAGTCAGATCATTCTATCTGCTCTCTATGAAAGGTAAAAGAACCTACGAGACTGTCAATCAAGAAATCCTAAACCTACCCACAAAAAGATGAAGAAAGGGGACGAACCACTCCAGTGGAAAAATGGAATAAATTCAACTCGACCCCAATAAAACCAAAAAGGTTAAAATCGAGTTAGAGTTAACCGAGTCGCAGCAAGGAGCAATTATTATGTTCCTTCGCACCAACGCGGATGTTTTTGCCTAGGGACCTGTCAATATACCAGGAATCGTCCCCGAAGTGATAGCCTATGAGCTATTTATCGACCAACACAGTAAGTCGGTCCGACAGAAGAAAATGCATCTTGGGCCAAAGAGATAGAAGACAGGTATAGAAGTCAAATAAATGCTAAAAGACAACGTCATTTGAGAAGTCTAATATCCAGAATGCCTAGCGAATGTGTTGCCAGTTAAAAAGGCTAATAGCAATTGGAGAATGCATCAACTTCACTAACCTCAACAAAGCATGTCTCAAGGTCAAGTACCCCCCCCCAATCGACCAACTGGTTGACGAGAGCGCCAGCCATGAAATGCTCAGCTGCATGGACGCCTTCTCAGGTTATAACAAGATAAAAATGGTGAAATGTGATAAAGAAAAAACCTCTTTCATCACAAATCAAGGTACTTATTATTATAAAGTGATGTCATTTGGTCTCAAGAATGCAGAAGCAACCTACCAGAGGTTAATCAACAAGAACTTTAAAGATCAATCCGATCACAATGTAGAGGCGTAGGTAGATGATATATAGGTGAAGTCCATATAGATTGACTCTCATGTGGCGAATGAGCGGATCTCAAAGAAACATTCATCCTCCGTCGATATCAGATGAAGCTCAACCCTACAAAGTGCAACTTTGAGGTCCGAAGGCAAATTCTTCAGATTCATGATAACTTAATGAGGAATAGAGGTCAATCCGGAGAAGATACTACCATTGAAGGGATGTTTGAGCCTCACATTATGAGGAACATCCAAAAGTTGAACGGAAGGGTAGTGGCTTTGAGCCGTTTTCTCTCTAAGTCGGATGAAAGTAGTCTTCCCTTCTTCAAAGTACTTAGAGGGGCTTAGGGACACAAAGATGACATTCGGTGGATAATAGAGCGTAGCAACACTTTTACAGAGCTCAAGAAGTAACTGACCTTCAAACCCTTATTGACCAGACCCATTCAACGGGAACAACTCTATCTCTACCTAGCCCTCTCAGTAGAATCTGTGAGCTCAGTCCTAGTTTGAAAAGAAGAGAACGTCCAGAAACAAGTGTACTACGTCAGTTGCATCCTCAAGGCGGTCGAACTCAACTCCATTACCATTGAGAGCCTCCATCACTCTCATCATCATGGCTAGACGCCGCGTTACACTCAATCGGTCCCATGGCTCATGATATGCCAATGAGCTCACTGGCCTAGGGCTTGAAAAATTCATCTATGAAGATGGACCTTGCACCAACAAGGATATCACCCGCCCCAAGCAAAATGTCATTCAAACACGAAAGCAATGGAACATATACTACGAATGATAGATCATTAAACAGTAATGTTATACTGATGATTATAACCACAAGCGCATCCAAAGATGCAAAGTAGGAAGCAACTAAGAAGACAAAAACCTTTCTAACTATTTTCTTGTTCTCAATCTCTTTTAGCCTCCAACATGCAATTTTCTACATGAGTTCATTGTTTTAAATATCCCCAGTATAGCTGATATATTGGCAAATATATCCTTTTATAAGGCTTGCCACAAAATGATATGGTCTCGATATCCCTTATAGTTTTTTGACAATTTTTGGGCGTAACCCAGCTGATATGTCTTTTCATATGGCTTGTCACAAAATAATGTAGTTTTTTTTTAAATTTCTTTGATGTTTTTGGCAAAAATTCTAGTCCTATGAAGTTTTTAAGCAAATTCTAGAGTTATAGTAGGCTTTGTTCCCTTAGTAAATTTCTACAATTGGATAGTGAGCCTAAACACATTTTATTTATGTTTAGATTTCATTCGGTATGTTAAATTACATTTTAGGACATTATATTATATATGCACATTGTCAAATATGGCACTCCGATATATACTGCATATCTTGACATCCACAGGCCGAAATGGATTGTGGTTGTCCTATATTTCCTCGATATCCAATATTTAAAACCTCGCATTAGTTATACCAAGCATCCCACTAAAAGCAAAAAGAACTTCAAATCATATAAAACTGAAATATAAAAATGGTTGTAAGCCGTCAGTATCAAGGTTATAACATGACCGCATCCGCAAGCGCTCAAGTAAGTACCTAAATTGTTGCACCTCGTTATGAAGGATAGCTGTTTCACCTCCAAGTAATTTTCACCTGAGAAAAAATAGGGCTTGATTGTCATTTGAAAGAATAGATAGGACATGAAAAGCTAAAACAATGCTTTTGTTTCACTCATAGCAAGCCCAGTGAAAATGCATCCACCATAATTACAAGGGTAAATTGCAGACAATTCCTCTTATATATATTCCTATCACCTCTCAATTATTTCAGTAGCACTTAAAACATCCCAATTCAAAAGGCGAAAGGGGTTATCTGCAATTTTTCCTTCTCAAAATGAAAAATTCAGAAGGTCGAGAAGCAGAAACATCTAAAAGATGAATTCTTTTTATGAATTAAGAGAAAAAGGGGGACAAATCTAGGGTTTCAGAGAGAGGAAAAGACCTATTGTGCTCCTGGACGAAGCGAGAGTTCTTGGCGTCCTCCTCTGCAATAGAAACGAAGAAATCAGCAATGGATGAGGTCATAAAAGAATAAAAAAATCAGGGGGTCATTTTTGGAGCAAAATTGGGGATTTTGAATTTTACCGGTGAGGCCGGCGGTGAATTTGGTGATTAGGGCACCGGTGATGGCGAATCCGGTGAGGAAAGGCCAGTTGCGATTCCACTCCCTCTTGAAGAACACCGGCCATGGATCGAATCTCCTCATCTCTCTCCTCTCCTTTTAATTTTTGGGGGGAAATTTGGGCACTTTTTTTGAGCCTTACGGGTTGAGATGAACGCTGTTCTATGTTTGTTAATAGGGTTTTTTTTTATAGAGTGTCCATCGGCACTTTATATAAGAGGAGAGAGAGAGAAAGGGATGATTGAAGCGGGGCCCTCTGATTTGCATTGAGATCCTCTCCTCAATTATTTCTCTATCTCTCTCCTCTCTTAGGGCATCTCTAACCGTTTCTTCAAAAAAAATTTCAAAATGGAGAAGCAAAAATCATATTCTTTAAATTATTTTTACACTAACTCCAACAGCTTCCCCTTTTTGAAAAATCCCCTTTTTCCTCCAAAAATTTAAAGAATGCTGTAGATTTGAGAAACTTCCCTATTTTTTTTTCTCCTCCATCCCTATTTTGGGGAATGAGATGGGGAATCTATTAGACCAAAAATCTAACTAAATTCTACAAAAGTGGAAAATGAGGAAGCTGTTGGAGATGCTCACCCATGAGCACTCTATAGAAAAACCCTTGTTAATATTATGTGGAATGCGTCCACACATGGTCAAGTATTATAATTATTTATTGTAAGTTTATTTATTTACTATAATATGGTTGTAAAAAAACTTTATAATTATTGTAATATATTAACTTCTTTCAGATATTTTCATGTGTGATTTTAACATTTTGACTTTTAGAGAAATAGTGATGTTTAAAGTCTTAAAATGTTTTTAATTTAAGATTAAATAGTAATTTGAATGTATAGTTTTAAAATATTAATGATGTAAGGGACCAATATGAAAAAAACCTATTATTATAAATAAAAAATAAATTCTTGAGTTCATTAAGGAAAATGGTAGGTTTTATCTAGTCATTAAGGATTTTGTTCAGTTATAAAAAAATCACTTACACCTGTTGTTTATCTGGCAATCGAATATTATAAATACTTTTTTCAATAAAATTTTTCTATAATTTTCTAAGTTAGAATGTGCAAATTTAATCAAGAAAGAAAATATATATTATGTGATCAATTCTAAAAGCTGATGTTGTACTTTTTTACATCTTCTCAAATACTAATTGATCTATCAAAACAATTACTCTCTGATTTCAGAAAATTATAAAATATAGTCTGAGAATGATTTGTACATATTATGCACTCCTATTGATTGTATTTTAATAAAATAATTTATATCTATCCAATGTCAAACAACATTAAAAAATTTAGCTTAATAGGTTAGAAGAACACAATATCTGCAATAATAGTCATATCCAAGCTATGGGCTTCATAAACTTAAAAGAATGTGAGCAATATAAAATGATAACTTAATTTACTTTGTCAAATAATTTATTACAAATTATAAAAGACAAGGGAAATCAGAACGATGATATACCCATCCCAAATAAATATTAAAATTTTCTTAGAGATTCCTATAGCAAAAGATTTTTAGAGTTAATGTGTAGGATAAATTTAAAGACGGGTAACCCAAACCAATTCATTGAGTGATAGACTTGCTATAAACTCTATTATTATAAAATTAATATCACATGTACCTTAAGTTGTGCTTTTATTTAAGAGTTAATTTTAGAAAACTCCACTCTCAACTATGGAGGGCATGACAACCCCCTCCCCCCTCCCTCGGCAAAACTATTTAAGACTGAGTAAATCTCTGCCAACTTTTGTATATAATCTATCTCAACTTAAAAAATTTTGATTTAACCCCAGTGAACTTTTCTTACTTAAATCTAACCTTTCAAAACTAACATCATTAAGTCTTATCTATTATGTGACAATTACTTGGCTTAGAAAGACCAAACTATCAATCAATCATAAAAGAATTAAATTAGCTTTTGCCAGATAAAAGAGGTGATATAGAGGGGAGAAATTATAAATCGGTTGTGGTCCTTTTGTTCTCAGTTGAGGGTTTCTATTTAATTAAAATTTCTTTCTTCAAGAGAGTATTTTTTCCAAATCACATATCGTAGTAACTATGTTAAGAGGGTTTGTTGATAGAAGTGTAAAAGATTATGGGAGTTTTTATGAGATACGCTATAGTTGAGAGATGTTTTCTAAAATTACACCAAAATTGAGAGGGGTTATCTATAGCACCCCCACATAATGCGAGGGTTTTGTCAAATTAAATCAGTTGAGTGAGTTTTTTAAGATAATCCCCATAGTTGAGAGGGTTTTTTAAAAATTAAGACTTCTTTTAAATATGGCTTATTTATAATTTGTCCCCCAAAATTTTAATAATTTAATATTAGTCCCTAAAATTATGGGCAATTTCAAAATTTTGTGGGAATAACATAGAATCATTGGATATTTAAAATCAATAAACTAATATCTAAATAACATTTACATATTTACTCTTATAGGAATTTATTCAATATCGACCAATATATTGCTATATCGGCCAATATATCGGGTTAAAGACTTTATCTTGGTAATATTTTATATTATTTTCTTTTGTTTGTTGATTTTTTTAATAAATCAATCGTTATAAAAAATATGACCGATATATCCCTTTGAAGATATCGAGGAAATCATGTCATTTTTTAATTTGATTGTGGGTGGGGGTTTGGATCGTGTTTGGGAAATAAAATTAGAACCTGCAAAACCCACAAAGACCACAATTCTTCTCCCAAATCTCTCCACTCTAGGCTCTCTTGAATCCTAAACATATATGTTGACGCAAATTCTTATGTTTAAAATTCATTAATATGTTAGATTACATATTACAATGTTATGTTATGTATGAATATTTATTCATATGACACTCAAGTCTTACATACATATCCTTGATTTTTGCTACCCAACATGAAATTTAGTTTTTTAATATTTATTTAATGTTAAACACTTTGTAGTAGTCCTTCAAAAGCCTCTTCTAAAGCTTTCTAAACAAAGTATATAATTTCAAAAAATAATTCAAAATCTTGAGACTCATTCAAAATATGATGCTTTAATTTTTCTACATTTCCTCTACTATATAAATATAAGCCAAGTATCTGACCTCACATTGTATGATGAATATTATTTGTCAATGGGATCATATACTATTATCTATAGATAACAAAGGTTTCAAATATTTTCTAAGCTTAACTGAACTTAACTACCTTATAGTTTACCAAAATTATACATATATACCTCCACTCGTATCTTGCTACACTTTTTAAAAAAACTAGGTTTTATGCATGTGCAATGCACGTGGTCAAAAATCATGATTAAGTATATTTGGTTTATTTCCATACTAAAACTTATTCATCGGTTCCACTTTGATGGTTTTTGCTTACTTATATCTCTAAACTTTAGCATTGTGGTTATTTTTTTAATATTCGTTTAAATGAACTACACCAAATTTAAACTTTTATATTGATAATTGAATTGACAGGAAATAAATATAATCCAAAATCAATTTGAATTATCATGTCATTGAGACCAACATGAAACCAAACTTCACCTGAGAAAATATAGCATTGTTAAAGTGAAAAACACTTTAAAAAATAGCGTTCTAAAAGGAAAATGAATAATTAAAGCTCATAAGACAAGATGACTTGTTAAAAGTGGGCTAAAATGACACAAAAGATAATATGAAATTTATTCCTAATCCTTGATAGACTTTAAAAAAAATATAAAATAAAGATTAATACTAAATCTAGTATACTTTTATATAATAAAAACATCCACGTAAACATATAAAAGTACTAAAAAGTTTATGAAAATCCCTTACAAAAAATTCCTAATTTACTCCAAAAAAACCTATTCTATAAAATATTTAGAAAATAGTACTTTCCATTCCTTCTGTTTTATTTTTTATTGAGATGTTATAAATCATTCTCCACCTTTATCTTTTTTGATAAAATTAGACTACTTTTAGATGCTAAAAAAGGATAGTAAAAGCTTAAAATAAAATTTAAAGTTATATATCTTAATGAAAGAATATCAAACAACTATTCTTTTTTTTGATATGTTTTGAAATTGTAGTCGTTTTTTCGTGATTTTGAATTTTTAAGGGTGTGTTTTGTAAATTTTAAAACTTTGAGAGTGTTTTTTTAAAATTTTAAATTTTAAGTTGAGTGCTTGTACTTTTCATGTTTCATGTATTGGTAGTAAGTTTTTTAATATCAGAATATTTCTTGCAACTCTAAATTTTAAGGGTATTTTTTGCAATTATTAAAACTTTAAATTGTTTGTTGTAAAATTTAAATTTTTAGCTGTCTGGTGATAATTTTGAGATTTGATATGTATTGGTTATAAGTTATTAAATTTTAGGGTTTTGTGCATTTTTTTATTTTTGAAGGAGTTTTTTTGAATATTTATAACTTTGAGGTTTTTTTTTATAAATTTTAGTTTTTTAGTGTCTGATAGTAATTCATTGAATTCATCTTTGTTGTTCATAAGTTTTAAAATTTCAGAATTTCATAGAGCTTTTTTATTATTTAAACTTTTGAGGGTATTTTTATAGTTTTTAAAATATTAAGGGTTTCATGTTTGTTGTTTTAAGTTTTGAAACGTCTGGATGTTTTGTGAAATTTTATATTTTTAGGGGTGTTTTGTGTAATTTTTGAAACCTTTTGGGTTTTTTTGCAATCTTCATATATTATAGTTTATTAATTCTTAAATTATTGACCTGTAAGTAGTTCACATAGGATTAGGATAGGATATAATTATGATTATAATAAATTAAATTTAAATAAATATTCAAATAGTCAATGGTAATATTGACCATGGAAAGATTTTCCCAAACTCTTATAATTTTGAGATTTGATATGTATTGGTTATATTGGTTATAAGTTGTTAAATTTTAGGGTTTTCTGTGCTTTTTAATTTTCGAAGAATTTTTTCGTAATATTTATAAAATTGAGGTTATTTTTTATAAATTTTAGTTTTTTAGTGTCTGATAAATTTTAGTTTTAAGGTTTTCCCGTACTTTTAAAGAGAGTATTATTAGCATATATTATTGTGTATAGATATTATTTGGTATCCTTGACCGAATAATATGTTGATTTTGTGAATATTATTTGTTTCCTATTTTACGGGATTTGTTTAGGAGATTTTGTGAGGTTTTCCTAATTTATAGCTTTGTAATGTGGTATAAATTGGGGA